TCAATATCTAATTTTGACTCGATCCTTATAAAATTTGATATTTTTGTTAAAAGATTAAATATTTCGATCTTTGTCATACTTAATATTGACTATGTCCTGGTAAAACTTCAAGCAAAGCTTTGAACCACAAGGTAAACTTGTCAAAGCTAAAACTTGTTGGTTAAAGTAAAGGAGGACAAGATCCCAAAAACCTCACGGGAGTTACAGAAATGCCAGAAAAACAGGCCGCAAGAATCTCAATTTACGATACTCTAACCTTACTCTACTCGACTCTCTACGTATGGTATACATCCACAATCAATAATTAAAAAGCTTCGAACCTACTGCTATGATGCCATACCAAGAATCAACCCATGCATAAGAGTCCTTCCAAAATTCAACAGCTTTGATTGAGTTAACAAAAAACAGATGAACCCCTCCACGGACTTCATCATATTTTATCTATTTTTTTTATTCAAAGGTAAAAAATCTCTTAGATTCCCTAGAAAATTTGGGTTTCATTTCTCTCTTTTGCCGAGAAAAAACAACCCAAATGGAAATTTAATGCCTTTTACACCTGGTTCCCATCACAGGCTACTACAAAACAACGTGTGTGTTTTGTATCTCTCTCTCTCTCCCTATAAAAAAACAAGCTTTGCCAGCTTTTCTCATACCCTTTTCCCCCCTGATTTTCGAGGAAAGCCTAAGTGGCTAAGTTCCTCTAGATTTTGTTTGGTCCAAAAATGGTCTCTTTCGGCTCCTCTGTTTTTCTTGTCCTCTTCGTTTATTTGCATTGTTTGTCATTGATCTCGGTTCGGGTTTTGGCGCAAACATCGCCTGTTTTTGCCTGTGATGCTCCTAAGAACCCGCAAGTGGCGAGCTTCGGCTTCTGCGACTCGTCGTTGGGGACCGATGCTCGGGTGGCCGACTTGGTTAAAAGGCTTACATTGCAAGAGAAAATTACTTTCCTTGTGAATGGCGCCGGGAGCGTTAGCCGGCTTGGGATACCGAAATACGAATGGTGGTCCGAGGCTCTACACGGTGTCTCCAACGCCGGTCCGGGAACCAAGTTCACCGGCTTGATCCCCGGTGCCACGAGCTTCCCTCAGGTCATCACGACCGCAGCTTCCTTCAACACTTCTCTCTTTGTAGCCATTGGCAGGGTAAACAAAGCTCAATTCCTTTCTTGTGTATCATATTTTTAAGTCGAGTCAATCCGAGTCAAATTCCGTTTCGGTTTTCGGATTTGTGTATCGAAAACTTTAATGTTGGTAGTGATAAAGCATTTAAAATTTGAAAATGATGAACTGGATGTTGCTTCATAGATAGGATTCCATGATTGAATTAATTATGTGTTTGTTGAAGAAGGTAGTTGATTAATTAATTTTTCAGGTTACCAAATAAGACTTCGTTAACCTTTTTCTAAGCTCCAGCATGCATTAATGACTAGGGGTTGCTTTTCTTTTTCGAAGGCGATCACAATATCAAAATTCGAACTCTATATTTAAATTTTATGTACGGATTCGTCCCATCGATCCGTACAATGTTGGTCTTTGAGAATCAATGATAATGCAGGTGGTTTCAACTGAAGCTAGAGCAATGTACAACGTTGGACAGGCAGGGCTAACATATTGGTCACCAAACATCAACATATTCCGAGACCCGAGGTGGGGAAGGGGCCAAGAAACACCGGGAGAAGACCCGTTGCTGTCCAGCAAATACGGATCGAGTTATGTCAAAGGTTTGCAGCAAACCGATGGCGGCGACCCTTCTCGGCTCAAGGTCGCCGCATGTTGCAAACACTATACGGCCTACGATTTGGATAACTGGAAAGGCGTCGATCGTTTCCTTTTCAACGCCGTGGTAATTTTAAGTCCGCGATGCGATTCGAGTTCCTTTAATTTCTTTTAGTTTATGTAAATTTGAAAAGTCATTTGATTGGCCTTGGGGGATGGTTAGGTGACACAACAAGATATGGATGATACATTCCAACCACCATTCAAGAGTTGTGTAGTTGATGGGAATGTGGCGAGTGTTATGTGCTCTTACAACCAGGTTAACGGTAAGCCGACTTGTGCAGATCCCGATCTTCTTGCCGGAGTTATTCGAGGCCAGTGGAAATTAAACGGGTATATATTCTTTTCTCGTATCTTTTTCGGGACCGATATATATATATATATTGTTGTATACAATGTTTTTGTTTACCATGTTTTTGGGGTTGGTGCAGGTATATAGTTTCAGATTGTGACTCGGTAGATGTTTTGTACAAAAACCAGCATTATACCAAGACGCCGGAGGAAGCAGCAGCCAAAGCAATTTTGGCAGGTAACTCTTTTGTCTTCTTTAGTATGTTACTTGGATTCGAGTATCAGTGATTGCGAAATGTTATCGATGTTCTTAGGGTTGGATCTCAACTGTGGATCATTCCTTGGCCAACACACCGAAGCTGCCGTGAAAGGCGGGCTTTTGAATGAGTCAGCCATTGATAAGGCCATAACGAACAACTTTGCCACCTTAATGCGACTGGGATTCTTCGACGGTGATCCCAGCAAACAACCTTACGGTAAACTTGGTCCCAAAGACGTGTGCACTCCCGAGCATCAAGAGTTGGCACGTGAAGCCGCGAGACAAGGGATTGTGCTGCTCAAAAACAAAGCCGGGTCGTTACCTCTATCTCCGACCGCGATCAAAATGTTAGCAGTAATCGGACCGAACGCTAATGTCACAAAGACCATGATCGGAAACTACGAAGGTAATGCTACCCCGTTGCTTGGAATTACAAAACAATATGATTAAGGTTATTAACTCGTAAAACTCGAAACTCTTTTGCAGGCATTCCGTGCAAATATACGACACCATTGCAGGGTCTAACGACATCAGTGGCAACAACATACGTGCCAGGCTGCACCAATGTGGCTTGTGGCACTGCCCAGGGTAGACGATGCTAAGAAAGCGTCCGCCTCAGCTGATGCCACTGTACTTGTGATGGGCATAGATCAGTCTCTTGAAAGGGAAAGTTTTGACAGAGTCGATCTTCTTTTGCCCGGACAGCAACCACTTTTAATAACCGAAGTTGCAAAGGCTGCAAAGGGACCCGTGATTCTTGTCATAATGTCCGGGGGAGGCTTTGATGTATCGTTTGCGAAAAATGATCCGAAAGTCACAAGCATCCTTTGGGTCGGTTACCCTGGCGAAGCCGGTGGAGCCGCCATTGCGGATGTAATTTTCGGGTATCATAATCCAAGTGGAAAGCTGCCGATGACATGGTATCCACAATCGTATGTCGATAAGGTCCCGATGACAAATATGAACATGAGACCGAATCCGTCAAATGGCTACCCGGGCAGGACGTACAGGTTCTACACTGGGGAAACCATTTATACATTTGGTGATGGGCTAAGCTACACCACATTCAGCCATAAATTAGCCAAAGCACCTACACTAGTATCCATCCCCTTGGAGGAAGACCATGTTTGCCGCTCGTCCGAATGCAAATTGGTCGAAACAGCCGAACAAAGTTGTAAAAATCTAGCGTTCGACATTCATCTTCGAGTTCAAAACAGAGGAAGATACGACGGAAGTCACACGGTGTTTTTGTTCTCCACTCCCCCATCAGTGCACAATTCGCCCCGGAAGCATTTGTTAGGATTCGAGAAAGTTCCGTTAACGGTGAAATCGGAGACATTGGTGAGGTTTAAGGTCGATGTCTGCAAGGATTTGAGTGTGGTCGATGAGCTTGGGAGCCGGAAAGTTGCATTGGGACAACATGTGCTACATGTTGGCAGCTTGAAACACTCGATAACTGTTGGGATTTGAAAAGAATTTTTTTTTTCAAAATCCTCGTGATTTTTTTTCCTGGCATAAGTTGAGGGAGTTATAAGCAGTTTTCTCATTTGTTTTTTCAAGTGTAACCAATTGTTAAAAGTTGAACATTTCGAAATCCCAAATTGAAAATAGAAAACGGAAGCATTCACGACTTTGGCAAGGATATATTTAAAGAATAATTTCAATTTCCTCTGTTTTTTTGGGGTTCTTTTTAAAGAGATTCTCCATCTCTGTTTAACCACGTCTATAGCCACTTCACCAATCCTCTGAATTTGGATCCTTCACGGTGTTTCTACTAATTGTTTCTTTGTTATTAGTTCCCAGTTTTCATATTTTATGCAAGTAATTTTTCTCTCGATTTCGATCCTCTTATCTCTAAATTTGTTTGTGTTTCATGGGAGCTTATGGTTTTACATGAGTTTTAGGTTTTTGCGCTACGTATGCAATCCTGTTTTTGTTTGTACATCTCTCATGGTGGTGGACGCCGTTGCTAGTTCCAGGGATGTGCTAAGGGTGCTCAGGGAAGTACCTTGTTTTGCAAGGCTCATGGTGGTGGGAACTCGTTTTATATTCGCAGGGTGTACCAATTACCAAAGGTGCCGAAGGAAGCACGCCTCTGTGCATGCAAAGGTCACGGTGGTGGAAAACGTTGCCTCTAGAACGGTGGTGGCACTTGTCCCACGAGTGTGCATGGGGGCAACAAATTCTGTGTTGCGCATGGCAGTGGGAAGCGATGTGTACAAAGAGTGCACGTGGTCGAGCTGATTGTTGAGTCAGGCATGGTGGTGGGAAGCGATGCAAGATCGAGAATTGTGGCAAGATCGCCCAAGGAAGCACAGACTTATGCAAGGCACGTGGTGGGGGATCAGAAAGATGCTCCTGGGGGGAGCGGTCTGTGCGCTACTCACAGCAGTATGGTAAAAGAGCGAGAGGCAAGCAAGGGAGGGCGGATCGCACATGGAGTCTTCTACGGGCTTGTATCACCGGCGACGGCCACAAGAAGCATCCGGGACAACAATCACTCATTCTCAGGGACTAGTGTTATTTCTGATGGTATTGAGTCCCTGTACAAATCAGCAAAAAGGCAACAACTCATACTGCCTCAGGTATTGGTTCCTTTATCTATGAAGTCCACCTCCCCTTACTCGAGTCTCGGGGATGCCTAGAAACGAGAGGAAGCAAGAAATGGATACGGCATGGACATCGATGGTGGTGGCGGCAACAATGACTTCTCGATTCCGGAGGGTAGGGTCCCTTTGATGGACTTAAAAGTCAAAATATCTGTGACATGTAGAAATCTGGTTTGGTTTATTGGATTGTTATTGGGACAGTGAAATTGTTCATAAAAATTGGTTGCTGTCAAAAGACTAGGTAAGTATATGCATGTTGTTGCAGTCTTTTATGTTCCGAAATCTTTATAATAGATTATCATTAGCCTAAATGCAAAATTATAAAATATCGGGAGCCAAAATGCAAAATTTCCATTTAACTAAAGGTTTAAAGGATTTAATCTAAATTATTGTTTTTGGAGGGGTTAGTGCAGCAATTTTCCCATTAGCCAAGGGGGCACATGTCCCATTAGCCAATCTTAGATCCTTTTTGTACTTTGCTTACGTGGCGCGCTGCTCTTCTTTGTCCGTCTTTCCCTCTGCCTAGAGCAACAGTACATAGATGCAAAGAGAAACAATTTTCTTCCCCCTTCAACTTCCGCAGAAGATTCAGCCTCCGTCTTTCACCTTTGAAATTCTCTAACGCTACTCTCTTTTAGGTAATAATTCACTTTGAATTTCTTTCTCCATTTTCGTTTTTTGATTCTAATGCTTTTTATAAGCTCAATTTTTATATAGCGACTACCGTCTTTTAGATTTGAATGAATGCACAATTCATCATAAATTTTCTTTTCTGTTTTTAATCTTTTCATCATCTTCAGTTTTGCATGATCTGTGTTGTGAAACGTCTTGATCTTTTCATCATCTTCAGTTTGCATGATCTGTGTTGTGAAACGTCTTGATCTGTTTCTCCTTTTCTATTATAGAAACGAAACTTGGCGCCTCATCTATGCTTCCAGATTTCGCAATTCAATGTTCGTCGTAAATTTTCTTTCAAAACGATTTGATGTTTTCTTTTTGTGAAATTTGAATCTTCAGCGAAAAGAAGTATGATTCAGTTCATCGCATTGATTCCAGTTTGTTGCTTAAAAAACTGATGATCAACTTTTTTGGCGGGAATTATAACTTTTTTTTAAAAAAAAGACAAACTGGAAATCACCAGTAAATTAACTCCGTTGCATAATTAAAAATAATTAAACCTAGCACCTACATTTCAATCATATTTCACATTTTTTCTATTGCTGATAATTGATGATTAATACGAAATGTCCAGATTCAGATTCAATGGACTCGAACTTCTACAATGAAAGCAACAAACTCAACGTCCTGAAGAGTAGCATCATTCCGAAGCTGACGACGACTCCGGTAAGAAGCCGTGGCAACTCCTATTCATCACCGGAGAACCTCATCAAGTACCTACGCTCCAATTCAGTGTCTAGTAGCGGCAACAGTGGCTCCACCGGGAAGAGCTGCTTCAGATCATCGGTTTCGCCCCAGTCGGAGAAGACACCACTGAAGGTGGTCGACGAAGATGTGTTTGTAATGGACGGAGTTCTTGTTGCTTCTGATTCTAGTATCATAGGATCAGGTTCTTCGTCTTCGGGAAGTACTGGTTTCTATAAGTCGGAAATTTGCAGGGCTTGGGAGGAACTTGGCCATTGCCGATATAGATCCAAGTGTCAGGTATATTTGACTGCTGAATTGTCTAATATGATTGAAATTTCATGATTGCCTTGATGTTATTATAACTCTGCCTATGTGCTGGCAAACATAAGGTCTTTAGCCCCGTGAATTTCTTAGATACTAAAATGTAATATTTAGCATCAACTCTGTTTTATGAACTTCATGTAAGATGAGTAGTCATTGAAGTTTAAATCTCATTTAATTAGTCATTTACAGTACTACTTTTAACCCTTAAAGAGACAATTCTATACCCTAATTCTAAATTAAAATATGAATCAGAATATCCTTCACTTACCTAAACATTTTATGAAAAAAATAACATTTTATGAAAAAAATAACATTTTACAAAATGAAAAAGGTTTGAGGACAAATTTGAGAAAAATATAAATGCATTTGGTCGGCCTTAGTCTAGCCCTTTTTATTTTGGAGTCATTGTCTATTTAATTTGATCATTTAGTGGATTTGAACTGTAAGTGTTGCAAGTGTTTCTTACACCTGCTTTGGATAGATTGAATTACGTTTGTGATGGTGATGAAATGATTAATTGGTCTTTTTTGCATGTATCGACTATAATGAGTTTTTTCTTTCTTTTTTCCTCCATTTTTTTGAAAGGGAAAAAATGGAATTATATTGAAAAAAGCCCAAAAATTCAAGATTTGACCTGTTGAAAAACGATCCAATAAAGTGAATGTTAGCTTGTAGGCATGAAGCATGAACTTTTAAAATTCATTAAATGCCACCTGAATATGAGTAGCAAATTTCCTAGTACTAACAGAGGCAAAAGAACCGACTTTCAAACCTTGGAAATTTCATTTGCCATGTTATTCTTGTACAATTCCCAATTCTTATTTTTTTAATCGGACCTCTATTCTTTGTTGGACTCTTCTAGAATGTGTTCATTTTTCACTAACCTACTGAAGAAGCCTTAAATCCTTTTGCAGTTTGAACATGGAAAGGAAGACGTACGCCCCACTTGTTTCTCATTCAGGATCAAATCTGAGGTTAGCATCAGTAAACTTGTATCTGATAATATATATATATATATATATATATATATTACACCAAACCACTGGTGCACTTAATACTAGGTCATTGTGTATTTTATTTTTCTTAAAATTTTAGATTTTTTTTATATTTCTATTGATGATATGTAAGTGATATGCGGCTAAATTACATAACTGACACCATTTTTTTTTAATTTTCCCTTTCTGACACCGTTTGACTAATATTTCCAGAAGTAGCACCCATTCTGCTGAGTTGGCAAAGGCGCGTCCCTGGGGACGCGCTTTACCCGTGTTTTCGCTGAGTTGGATGCCACGTGTGGAAGGCGCGTCCCCGGGGATGCGCCTTTGCCATATCAGCAGACACGTGTGGAAAGCGCATCCCCGGGACGCGCCTTCCATTAAATGTCATAAATGCCCCCATCCGTTTTTCCTAACTACCCCTCCTCTTCCCGTATATAAACCCCCTCAACCCTCCCTCATTCTTCACACCAAAATCATATTATCCTCTCTTATAACTCAAATTCTCCAACTATTTGAGTTTAAATTTGTTATTAGTGGTAAGAAATTTATTTTATGTTAGTATTTTTTTAAATAGTTATTATTTTTTATATTAATATATTTATGTAAATATTATTTTTTTATTAAAATAATATTTATAATTATTATTATTTAGAATTATTAATTTTTTTTGCTAATTATATTGTTTTGTCTACAGTTATAATGGAAAACGAAATGCTGTTGCGATTGGATATTGATCATATCTCCAGACATTTAGCGATATGGTAATATTTTTTATAATTAATGTTAATATTTAAATTTATTTTTATTTTAAAGTTATTATGAATTTATATTAATTTTTATTTTTTATAATGTATATTATTTAGGATGCTGATCGTATTTTAGAGACTTTTATTAAAAATTCACGTATACCGACACCGAAACGTATTTTGCCATATTTGGCTTCTGCCGGGTTCGGGTATATTGCAACAATTATAGGCGGTTGCAAACTCGAACATGTCCTAATTTCTGCACTGATTGAGAGGTGGAGGCCCGAGACACACTTTTCACCTTCCATGTGGAGAGGCGACAATTACATTGGAGGATGTCTCTATGCATCTGGGGCTTCCCGTCGACGGAAATATGATGTGTGGTATGGCGGATGGTGATTGGCAATCAATGTGCATTGATTATCTTGGAGCTGCTCCGCCAGAGTTTAATGGAGGTAGAATAGCTTTATCTTGGTTGAAAGCTAATTTTGAGGTTTTAAATGAAAATGCTTCAGAGGATCAAGCAAAGGCATGTGCTCAGGCATATATTCTACGAATAATTGGAGGAATATTGATGCCCGACAAATCTCGCAACCAGGTGCATTGTATGTGGTTGCGGTATCTGATCGATTTTGATGAAGCTGGAAGATATAGTTGGGGTGCTGCAGTTTTGGCATTTCTCTTTAGAGAAATGTGTCGGGCGACGAATTATAAGAAAACTGCTATCGGTGGATGTCTTCTGCTTCTACAATCATGGGCATGGTTCCGCATGCCTTTCTTATGCCTGATCGTGAATGAACCATACGTATTCCCCTTATTGTTGAGGTAATTTTCGAACTAAATTTTGATTTAAATATTTTCAATTAAATAGGGTGATATTTAGTTTATATTATATTTCATAGGTGGTCGATGAAAAGAAAGGACCATAAAAGTATACCTACTGGGTTAGAGGAAATTCGTTTACTTATTGATACGAAAGTTGGGTCTGAGGTATGTTTTTAAATTTGTTTAATTATTAATATTTTAATTTAAAATGTTAGATATAATTAGAATATTTTATTTATTGAATTGTATATTTATTTCAGTTTCAGTGGATACCTTATGCGAGCGATGAAGTGAAAGCTTGCATCCCACCCCACCTTAGTGGGTCATTAGAGGTATGGATATCGGTTATACCTCTTATATGTCATGCTATTATTGAGTGGCATCCAGTTGATCGCGTGCTCCGTCAGTATGGTTGTACGCAATATATTCCTGGAGCTCCTAGGAATTTAGACGACGTGCATAACATAGATAGACGAGGAAAGAAAGATGTTAACTGGGTGGTGAGACACAGAGATTGGATTGAGCTTTGGGAGAACCGATATACACTGTTGGCCCCTCAACAATATTACGCTGAAACTGGTCATATGGTTACGGATAACTATATGGACTGGTTTAATGAAAATGGGAAGCCGTTTCTGCTTTCGGCGGAAGCACGAGGGGTTAACATTCCTAGGCGCCGAGAAAGACGTCAACCGTCTCAATATCATCGTCCCCCGACGCGTGGACGGAGAGAAGGCGCTACCGGTTCTGCATCAGTCCCACCACAACATCCTTATTCGTCGATGCCGCAGGGGTACATGCCCAGCCCTCCACTTCATATGCCAAGCCCACCAGTTTATATGCCATCTCCGCAGGGTTACATTCCGAGCCCGCAGGGTTACATTCCTAGCCCGCAGGGTTACATTCCTAGCCCGCCAGGTTACATGCCTAGCCCGCAGGGTTTTATACCATATGGAGGTGCATATACGACTATGTTTAATGATCCAGCATATGGTTCATATGCATCTTATTTGGCTGGTGGTGCTTCTCCGCAGACACCTCAATCTCCATCTGGATCACATACATCGATGCCAATGTTTCCACAGTTTTCACAGTTCCCGATGAGCGGTGGGATTGTTACTAGCACTCCTCCAGGGTCGTTATTTTATACAGGCCCTTCAGTCCCTTCAGCGTCATCTACACCAAATGAAGAAAATGATGCTGATGATGATAGTGAAGATGAGGAGACTGAAGAACAAGTTCCACGAAGAAATCCTCCACGAAATAGACAACCACCGCCATGTGGAACTCATTCGAGAAGACGACATCGGTGATCCAGTTATATTTAATGTTATTTAAATAATTATTTCAGAATTTTATGTAATTTGGTTATGTTATTTAATGTTTCATGGTTGTTACATACATATTTTTTAATGTTATTTTTTATTCACATTTAACATTAAATGTTTGATAAATATTTTTAAAATACAAATTATTATTCGAAATTTAAAATAAAAATAAAAATAATATATTCAAATTTAAATTTAAAATATAAATTATAGTATTCAAAATTTAACATTAAATTTCAACTTAATATTCCAATTGTATTCGAAATTAAAGTTATATTCCAATTATAGTACACAATACTTAAATTGAAATTAATTTATCCATACATATGATTTTATCATTAACATATATATTAAAACGTATACATTAAAATCAACTTATGTTGAGTTCATCGATCGACGGAATCAGCCAAGAGGGGGGTGAATTGGCAATTTATTCAATGTCACATTTCAATGCTCATTCCATACAATTTCAATGTCACAATCAACTTATCACTTCACATTTATTCAATTTATCCATAACATTTTATCTAATTTATTCAAACTTCACATAACGTTTTAATTTAAGTTATTCTTACTTGCTGAACTTTCAATAGAAGTTAAATTTTGGTTATAATTTACCTGATTTACTGATATCTAGTGTCCCCGAGGGACATGAGTGACATAATAAGGCAATGATAACATATTCTCTGACGAAATAATGGAAGGCGCGCCCCCGGGAACGCGCCTTCATGTCCCCTGAGAAATAATAGGTACTGATATATCTAGTGTCCCCGAGGGACATGAGTGACATAATAGGGCAATGATAACATATTCTCTGACGAAATAATGGAAGGCGCGCCCCCGGGAACGCGCCTTCATGTCCTTGAGAAATAATAGGTACTGATATATCTAGTGTCCCCGAGGGACATGAGTGACATAATAGGGCAATGATAACATATTCTCTAACGAATAATGGAAGGCGCGCCCCCGGGAACGCGCCTTCATGTGAATAGTGAAATAATAGGTACTGATATATCTAGTGTCCCCGAGGACATGAGTGACATAATAGGGCAATGATAACATATTCTCTGATGAAATAATGGAAGGCGCGCCCCCGGGAACGCGCCTTCATGTGAATAGTGAAATAATAGGTACTGATATATCTAGTGTCCCCGAGGGACATGAGTGACATAATAGGGCAATGATAACATATTCTCTGACGAAATAATGGAAGGCGCGCCCCCGGGAACGCGCCTTCATGTCCCCAGTGAAATAATAGGTACTGATATATCTAGTGTCCCCGAGGGACATGAGTGACATAATAGGGCAATGATAACATATTCTCTGATGAAATAATGGAAGGCGCGCCCCCGGGAACGCGCCTTCATGTGAATAGTGAAATAATAGGTACTGATATATCTAGTGTCCCCGAGGGACATGAGTGACATAATAGGACAACGATAATATATTCTCTGACGAAATAATGGAAGGCGCGCCCCCGGGAACGCGCCTTCATGTGAATAGTACTCCGATTATAGACACTATTATATGCAACGTATTATAAACTTTCAAAACAAACTTCAGTTCACAATCTTTCAAATTCTCAAATTCCCAAACTCTAAATTCTCAAAATCTCTGAAAATGAGTCGTCTTTCTGCTGTTGTTTTGTATGATGGAGAAATTAAGGAAGCTGAAGAGGGGGTTGTTTTTGAGTCAGATCATTATATCCCCTTAACCTTGAAGAGAAACATCACAATTGAGGAGTTAATCACAAAAATTTCGTTAAAGATTCGTGTAGCAGGCCAGAGAAGACTATCTTCACTTCAGTACAGATTTCCTACTGAACTTTTTCAGCTCACGTATACATCATTTCAGCTTTCAAACGATGATGATGTTTCTATGATGGTTGATGCTCATATGGGGAGTTCACAATCTCTTATTGAAATGTATGCCACTTTTATTGAGGTTCGTGCAACTCGTGGTCTCTCATATTCCTCTCACTTTGGCATTGCATATCAAACTGATCAAGTTGATAGCCCGACACAACTGATCTGTAATGATTTCACATCATTAATGGCGGATCCAACGCCATATACCATGCCATCAAGTTCAATAGGAAGGCATTCATCTGCAACTGCTTATGATCTCAACCCACGTGGCTTCACCAATAATCCATATGGCAACATCTCTTCTACTTCAAGGGGCAGACATTCATCTGCCAATGTTTTCGACTTACATATGGAAATACCAA